TATGAATAGTCAGGTTCGCCTGAGGCTGTGCCGTAGACTGACTGACTACATTTGTATATTTACTTCTATACTATTATATAATATGAGAGCAGGACCGAAAATTGTCACTGTTATTAAGCCTACTGAGTATCAATAGAAATTTGAATCTTTAGGGAAAAACCGCGATTTTCAAGTATTCGTCAAAATTTTTCAGTATTTTTAAGATCTACTATCCTACTCGTAGCGAAGACAAATCCAACAAATCAAAAACCATGAAAATTGGTCCAGCAGATCTCGAGTTATATGTGCTGGAAAACTTTTCACAACTCTCTTTTATATATATAGATAATAATGTCGTTGCTTAATAAAGTTGCCTAATTACATTCAACTTTGACGCAAATAGAAGAAAATTGCATTAAATGTAGAAACCTAATATTACATCATAATATTTTAGAAGCGAGGCTAAGAGCTTGCATAGAGCTCTTACATATAATGTAATCCAAGTGAGATTGCATCTTAGCTCCACGCGTATCGTTTTTTTATTGTATTCTCTAATTATCACTTGGCAAGATAGACAAAGATAGCTACTGCTGCTGGTATCGCTAAGTAAAAGCGAGATGGTTCTGTAGGCAGGGTCATTATGATAGACAGTGGACGAAGGAAAACAATTGCAAGTTGTCATTTTAGAAAAGCACATCGGAAAACCGTAAGCATGAAATTAAAACCATCGACATTTTTAATTATATAATATTGAATGAAATTCTCTAAGATGCATATTGAAATATTACTTTTAAATTCGATTTATTATTACAATTGTGATTACATTACAGTTCGCGAAAACGTCTCACAACATTTTGCATAAAATGATGAATTTGAATTTAAGAACAAGGAATCGGATGCAAGGAGTATTTAATGTGCTTTTCCTTTATCATATTTCTTTTCTTTTGCTTTCAGTTTGACTTTCTCCTTTCATGTTTTACATAACGCAGTAATTAAAGCCAACAGGCGCAATAGCCAGAAATGAATAAGAACTATTTAATTAAACTGTCTCGGCAGTTAGCTTCTGGACTAGCAAAGTGCATTGCAAAAAGGACATTTGCATTCGCCTTGGCACAGTGAATACTGAATATCAGGGAGTATGGACGTTTAATTTAACAACGTTGGTAACTACAAAATAGTTGTGTTTTACGCAAGCTCAACATATGTTAATATGTGTCTATACATATACGTAGCTTAGGTATGTAGCGGACATATACATACGTAGTAACACACACCTGAAGCGAACGCATATTCACCTTTGGACGCTCACGTTTGAGCACCTACGAATGCCTTCAGATTTTATTGAGACATTATCAGGCAAAACAAATGGTAGACAATTTGCAGCTATGGAGGTGGCTTTTACGGTCGCCTACCGCACAAAAAAGGACGTCTCGCAATGGCCAAGGCGGGGGCGTGGCTGGAGATGGGCATAGTTTCGCCCGAAGCTTGTATACAATAAATTGCGATGGCCATGTATGTATGAGCGATAACCGTGCGTATACGCAATATTTGGCCAACATTTCGCTGTTTCAGACAATACGGCCATTTTTATGGCTCGTAACCGGAGACATTGGCATGTGAATGACAGATATTTGGGTTTAGTCTATCCCAATACAAGTCTACGACTATGTCTATGTCTATGGCAAGAAAAAATGCAGTCCTTATTGGTACGCCTCGCCTGGCCAATTTATTAAATATAGATTAAATAAAAATCTAAGTCTCCAATATCTTTTTTCAATAGAGCATATCTACCCAGAAAGCTACAGTCTGTTGACACGACGCGACGCCATAGAAAAAAGGAAACAGAAAAACAAATAAATTTTTCCAAAGACAAACAATGAAGTTCGCTGTTAGATAGCAAAATATTATATTTGGCATGGAACAAGGGGATAGTATTCATAATATATTTCAAACACTTAATAAAATATCAGTAGCAAACAACAAGACAGATGGTCAAGTAAAGAAAAATGTATGAGACTGAAGCGTCAACATATAAATCACATTGGGATTCTGTGAGATTCAACGCTGGCGAATCTTATGTAATTGGTTTAGCTCAATTTTCAAAATAAATTTTAGAATTCGTCGCTTGCACTTACCGTTCGATTATCCGAATCTATCGATACAACCTACTGTTAGCTAACATAATCACTGAGCGAAAAGAGTGAGTTACCATTGTACAGCATATTTAATGTACGAGCTCTTAAATTTAAACATAAGAATAGTACATGCATATACATATGTATATGTCAAATGTATATACAAATAATGCGATTCCTTTTTATTAGAATTAGTTAATACTAACAATAATAAAACTAAACACATACGCATAATCATTTCTTATATTATATAGAAACCTAATTCATGCATTCCATTGTTTCCTTAGTATTCACTTCGCCTTTTAAAAACTGTGAGCTCTCTTCGAGTTCGCCATTTAATCTTTTCAGCCTTCTCGCCTCCGATATGGCTTTGTAAACTCGATTTTTAGCTTTCTGAAAAGCCAAGCGAGCGTCCTTCTTATAATCGTCAAATGTGTAGCCTTCCCTCTTCTGAGACTCTGCAACGAAATCAGATGGAATCAGCACCATATGCTCATATAAAATATCTTCATTTACCATATAACGCTGTGTTTAAATTTACATAATTGCTTAGGCCAGCTTTTGAGCTATGTCCTCCATAGTTCATTTCCATTAACAACTTCTGGTCTAATATCCGTCCAATATTCTTAACAATTCCGCAAGGACTTAGCAAATTCTTAAAGAGCTCAGTCTGTAAATGTAAAATATGAGCTTATTCTTAAATTACATATGTTCTCTTTCGAGCTATGTACTTACATATTTCTCCCGATCATTTGCGATTTGCATATCAATTGCTTCTAATGCTTCTTTGTGTTTAACAGGAAAATCATTTGGCTTCGTCACCGTCTTCATATTTTCACAGATTTTATCAACACGTGCCAATATCTTCGTATTTACATTAAGTAGAAAGTCCACTTTGCGTTCCAGGCTGCTCAAGCGGTCATTAAGATTATGGCAGTGGGTTGATCCTCCGTCTAAGGGATATACTCGCTGCATTTTTTGCTGCTCCTCGACCAATTGTTGACTGTCGACCATTCCAAATATAACTTCCTCTTCAATGGGCATCATATCGGGGCACATAACTTCATTCTTAACGGATAAATTCATATCGATGTCGAGTGGATCATCAAATATATCAAACTGCTGTCTTGCCTTTTCTGCCGAACGGCGAACCTTCCGGCCGCTCCCACTCATAGTAAGAGTGTCTAGGCTTCCAATAATATAGTTTATTAAACTTAAAATATATTTTAAAAATATACCCACATATAATATAATTTCATTCGATGAAAAAGTTTTTTCCCCTTTTTTTTTTTTTTTTTTTTTTTTTTTTGTCCGCTTTCAGTCTCTTTTCCTTTTTTGTTTCAAAAATAATTACTTATGTGCATACATACATACATATGTATATTATTTGTCAAGAAATATGACTTTTATTAACAACAGATGATATGGCCGGAGCCAATTTATTCCACTACGACACATCGTACGTCTGACTATACAATGTGATTTTAAAATGATGTATGATTTTAGCGTATATATATACTGTATATATGCTTATATATCATTATATATCATTTTAATTTTTAGTCGGTTTGTTAAATTAATTAAAAATATTTGCGCGTGTTTTGTTTTTCCTACATTTAAACAGCTGTTGTCAGTCAGTCGATATATTGTGGCGGCTTATCGATAAGCGTGAATTTAGTATCTATACAGTTAGGTCACACTTGTAAAGATGTTGCCTGCACGCTTATATTCTTCCTGTCGTTTATTTTCCACAAATTTAACAAATAACGCTGTGAGCAAAAATGCCGTTGGTGGAATTAGCCTGGTAGACAGAGTTGCCGTTACCAAGAATGGAAAAACAATTGTAGCCTGGCATCCAGACACTCCATTTCCCTACGAGCACACAAAACCCCTGCCACAGTTCGTCGAAAAGCAAAGTTCTGATGTTATAAAGGAAACTGCATTGCAGACAGCAATGACTGCTTTTAAGAATAAGTTCCCGGAGGTTGCACGTCAAGAACTTATGAAGTTAACACACACTACAAAGCACCGTTGGTTCCCCCGGGCGCGCGACAGGAAGGCTAAAAAGACGCCTATGGACCGGCCTTACTTGTAAACACTACATTACATAAGCACTTTGTAAATGGAATAAAATTATAATATGAATTAAAGTGGGGGCTTATTAAAAAGAATAATCAAATCAATATATAAATTAAAAGAGTCTGCCTCCCTCCCCATGTTGACTTTCATTTCATATTTGAATACTATCAACTATAAATCAGATTGGGAATGAGAATAAAATAAGAGCCACAACAAAAACATCAAACAGCTGTTAGCAATAATAACATTACCAACTTGAGTATTACCAGTGCTGCCAACAAGCTATTTTTAAATGGTATATGCTATGAATATTTTGATAATGCTGTTAGCTATAAATCTAGCTATTTTACAAAAGCAAATTTTTAATTTCATTTTAGTATCTAAGGACATTAATTTCGGCATTAATTGTGTAAAAGTGAGTATTAAGAAATGGACAAAATATATAAGGAGGAAAAAAATCACAGAATTTAAAGATTGGATAAGAAAGGATGAATCGGACAACACGTGGGCATATTGCATGTACTGCAAATACAGTGTTTTTACGAAATTACATTACATTAAAATGCATAAAGTGAGAGTTCTGCTACTTTGTAAGCCAATTTTTTTTTTTAGCTACCGTTTAGAGGCGATTATGCTATTTTCATGTCTCAAAACCTGGCAACACTGCGTGTTACAGCTACGTGGATGATAACAGCAACCCCAATAATCACATATGTATGTATGAATTGTATCACTAACACCACTAACCATAGAACACATACAGTAGGCATGGAGAACAAATTTTTTACAGCAGAAAATTTTAAGTTGGTGTTTACAGTCTAGTCTATGTGAACTGAAATCATATATTACTGGGCAGCCCTCGAATTAGTTTTCTAATAATGTCACGGAAAAATTCCTTTAGTCTTTTATATATTTTATATTAATAATAATAATCGGAGTATTATTTTAAATATCAACCCAACATAACTGGTATTCTAAGCCTCGAAAAAAATTTTTTTTTATTTGATGATCGAAATTGTGTTCGAATTGATAGAAGACCACTGTATTATTTACATTCTGTTGGCTTAACATTATGCGCTCATTTTCTGTGAACATACATTTCTTCTCTCATTTTCATTGTGTCTGTGACTTTTAAAGTGGATTGACGTTCTGCGGAAAGTTGAGCCGAGAAATTTGAGAGCTAAAAAAGTTGTGAATAGGAAAATCACAAAAGTGCAGTGGCTGTGTTGTATGGGAGAGAGTTTGTGTGTGCATATATGCTAAAGAGAAAAAGAGAGGAAGACAAGTGGCATTGCTGCAATCGCAAATAACTAAATTTGTTCAATCAACAAAGTCAGAGACAAAGAAATACAGACCTGTGACTTCAGCATAAGGACAATATGTCTACTGTGGAATCCTCTAGTGCGGCGGTTCAGCAGCCACCCTCGTCCACATTGCCAATGTTGGGCGATAATCAAGTGAGCACTATGCAAATGCAAATGCAGGCCTCAACTTCGTCAGCGGGAGGAAGCGGTAGCATGTCGGTGGGCGTACCGTTAGATACGCAAGGCAGCGGTGAGCCACCAGCTAAGAAGCAGATGCTCGATCCGAACGCTGCCTCTTCATCGTCAGGCTCATTGTCAGGCGGTGGGGGCAGCGGTCCAGCTGGAGCTGGAACCGGAACACACGAGAAGCTCGCCTATCGTATCTCGACTGCGCTATGCTGTGCTGTGTGTCTGGATTTGCCCAAAACGGCCATGTATCAGGTGAGTTGATTGTGGCATGAAAACTAAAAAAAAAATAAAATATATATATATATATATATATATACATATATTAAAATAAATAAAATTAATAAATATGTACACTAAAAGGCCAACGTACGTGCATTCAAATGCATATGTGTATGTGCATACAGCAGTGCTCTCTATGCGTATGCGTATATTTGTAACATTTCTCTGTATACAAAACAAATCAAGCAAAAGCAATCAAAAACTCAGCTGTAAGTGGCCATTCCCACCCCACGCACCGCCGCTGACCCGTTCAGCGCAGTGCTCACAGCTGAGCTCGCCAGTTAGAGAGAGAGAACGCAAAGCGAGCGCTTCAAAACAGAATGTAAGAGAACGTGAAAAAACGGTGGTTTTATTTGCTTGCCTATGGTTAAATTACAAGAGCCCATTGCCATTGCCTTGAAAACGACAATGCCAGGCACTTGCACCATTTGGCCTCCTACCTTCTTCGTGCAGGTCGCCCATTAACTGTTTTTGTAAATATGTATATACAGCGCGCTCGCTCGCACGCATTATAGTTACATAGCATGCAGTTCTCGCCATGCTGCTGCACATTTTGCGTATTAGGCGAGCAACGACCAAAGCAACCCTGCTCAGTTTCAATGCTCACCCCACTGACCCCCACCTAACTATTTGCGCAGTTACATTAACTGTAACACTCTTCTTAACAGCTGTATTACTGCCTTTTCCGCCGTTGCGTCATCAAATTCGTTGTATGCATACATTCTCTTATTTATATACATATGTATGTACATATGTTATGTATGCATATAAATTTGCATAAAATAATGTACAAACATATTCATACATATGTATGTGTGGGGAATATAAGAATTTGTTCTCATGGATGCTTTATTTACATGGTGTGCTGTTATGTGTTATTTGTGTTCGTGGCCTATTTTTGGCTGCGTAGTCCGTGCGACCCCCGCTGCGGCGGCGCTATAGCCGACGTCTCGGTTCTATAAACCCCGCCCGCAAACGAAAATAATGCTAACAACTGAACGTCAGAGTTTGTGTCGACATATGTACATACATATGTATGTACATATGCATTTACATATGTAGATACATACGTACTTACATCTACTCTCACATGTGCGTGTGTACATACATATGTGCATATGTATGTATATTGTCATACAAAAAGCTAATTGCCTGTTTGTCGTTTCCTATTTGCTGAATTCGCGAATAGGTATGTATGTATGTATGTATGTACATGCATACGCATACTATATGTACATATGTACGTGTGAAAGCATTTCTTTCATGAGTGCAGTAGCTCGGCAGATTTATTGTTGCTAAATTCGGCAATGATGTTTTAATTTAATGAATAATTGTGTCAATTTATTAACAATCAAAGCTTTACGTAACACGTTTGTATATATTGACTTATGTATATTGACTATGTATATACGTACATATATAACGTATATATAGAGTGCATATATATAAGTATGTATGTGTGCATATGTATGTACTTAATTCTTGTCATTTTCAATGTTTCTTTTCTAAGCCTTTTCGCCGCTTTTCAACAGTGCTACGTTGACTATCGCTGGCTCTCTGGTTTATTTTCCTTCTCTCTCTTTTTCGCTTCCATTCTTGGACCCCTGACGCACACACACACTGACACTCACAGACACCAGTCATAAATATAACTGCGTCATTGCTTAAACCCACCAACTATGCATTAATGCATCATAGGTATCTAATACGTTGGGTATGAAATTGTTGAATCCAATGATTATATTTGGTGTTTATACATACGTTTATATGTATCTACATATCTATGTACATACATTGAATATTGTCGAAAGCGCACACATTGACAATTTCACACAACATTCACGCACACACATGCATAGACTGTTTTTCACTCTCGTTTATTTATATTCACGCTCTCTGTTATTGTTTTGCTTCTGCTGGCAGTGGTGCTCTTCTCGGTCGGTGCTGTTATTGACATTCGTCTCGTCCTGCTCGCACACATAGCGTACGTAGTAACATAGTCAGCTGTTTGTGGGCAAAGAAACGCATTTGGTAGTTGTTGAGAGAAACAAAAACCTACGACGCATTTAATAAGTTTTCGTCATCTTTATCTGACACCAATTGGCATGATTTTTTATGTTTGAATTTGCGTATGAATGTTGTAGTTGGAAGTGGAAGGGCACATTATGAAAAAATATTTGTTGGATGTTTGCAGATTGTTATTGTTATTATTTGTAGTAACCCGTAATTGAAGGCAAACTTGTTTTTCCAGTTCCAGAGCCATTACCTAAAACCTGTAAATTCTAACCTCAGTGTGGGTTTCCTTTTACCTGCCCTACAGTTGTTGTTGTTGCTGTAGTTGTTGTTGATATTATCGTCTCCACGAGTCACTACTGTTCTCTGTTTCTTCGATGTTGACAATCGTCTCTACTTATGTAGATACACACACACACTTGCATGCAGACGTATCTACCAAAACATTATCAGCTGGGTTTTGTTGTGAGTTTATTTAAAAGCGAGTGAATGAATACATTCGAGCAGAGAGCGAGTGCGTGAGTGTAGTAAATGAAGGGTTTTAATAATACAAATACAAAATTAATAAAATAAGTTAAATAAATGTTGGGGTTTGCTTTAAACAATTGTCACAGCTGCCTATCGCTTACTCTATGTATGTCTGTATGTCATTAGCGTTTGCTACGACATAATGGTTTCTGCTTGAACAGCATTTGGGAGTTCATTCAACCTCAGAGAATGGGAATGCGAATGGAAATGGAAATAGGATTTGGGGTGCAGTGAGACTATCCTGCTCGCACACTCGTCATCATAGAGAAACCTGACAAGAAAGTAAAAGACAAATAACGAGCGTGCTCTTATCTCTCAAATAGGAAGATATATACAGGCAGTTGCAAGTATACATGCATATGTTTGTATATATGTATGTATACATATAATATATATGTATTCTGCATAGAGTATGTCGCACATGTCACTCCGCAAATAGAATATCCAAAAGATCGAACAACTATGGCGTTTTTATCACGCTTCGGAAGTGATAATTGACGAAATGTCGCGTCGACTCGTGTCGCGTCTCATGGCCCGCATTCTTTGCCAATCCAATGAGAATTGTATAATGGAAACAGTCATCCGGGTCGTCAGATCTGATCTTTTCCAGTCATATATTTTCATTATCTCGCTCTCTCTTTTCCACGGTTCCGTGGCATTTAGATGGTACACTACCCCTATTCCTACAGTGTCTAATGATTTCGTATCATTCATTTTACACAATATTTTTTTTAATTTTTTTTCTTTGGTTTCCGAAATTGAAATACAAAAATAAATTAACTAAAACAATATTTATAGTATATGTTTCCTTTTGTTTTCAACACCATTGAGACATGGACTCATCGAGTATATTTTACGCTCCAGCCTATGCTTGATTGTAGAACATTAACATCTCTTTCTCTCTCTCTCTCCCTATCTTAACTACTTCTAACTCTCTAATGAATAATCTAGTTAAGTCAACTTAATATTTACATACAAAAATGAAACCTTTTACCTACTTAGCTAACTCTTGTAAGCACACACACACAGACACACACACACACTTTTCCACTAGAAATGTAATTAAATCTTAATGCTAAGTATTTACAAAACTTTTAGTCTATTTGAGATAAAAGTCAGTAACTGTAAACTATTGATATATAATTGAAATGTACAAATACAAAAATATGAAAAGAAAATGCAAAAATTCAAAGTGATTTCAATAAATTTTGCAACAAGTGCAAATTGTTAACTAAAAACTGAATACAAAATACGCGTTTTTATTTAAAAAAAGAAAAAAAAAATTGATAACCACCCACAGGAATCACCATTCAATTATTCATCAATCCAATCATTTCGAATATACCTCGCTAAATCTAATATCATTAGTCCCATCCTGAATCCCCTTGCACAAAATTTCTAATATTCTGCCACATTTCACACCCTCCTCATCCACCTCAAATTTTTGCAAAATAGCGTATTTGACTAATAGCAAATTTTTCTTCTTTTTTCTTTAATTGCAGGTTAATTTTTATTCCACATTTTTATTTAGTTCTACTACATACAACACATATACGTATATATTTATGCATATGAATGCAGATGTATAAATATATATACATACTTTTAAATCTTTTAACATATACATACATATATCCCTGACATGCGCCCGCACTAAAACCTCTCTGGTTTTCACTCTGCTCTCTTTATTTTAGTGCCAAATGGGTCACCTGATGTGTGCCGCTTGCTTCACCCACCTCCTGGCGGACGGACGGTATGAAACACAAAAGCGCAAATTAAACGACTTGAAAAATTATTTACTGTGATTTGACCAAACACTTCACCTCCCGAACTGCCCGAATTTCGCAATAATCTAAATTTTTCCCTCTTTCTATTCTATATTTTATGCAGCCTACGAGATCAGATAGCCACATGCCCGAACTGCCGTGTGGAAATATCAAAGAGCACCGCATCCCGTAATCTGGCTGTGGAAAAGGCGGCTTCCGAACTGCCTAGCGAATGTCAGGTAAGAAAGTATAGACAATTACGGATTCTGATCTGAAATGAGAATTTAATTTTTCTAATTTTCAGTTTTGCAACAATGAGTTTCCATACAAATCTCTGGAACGTCATGAACAGCACGAGTGTCAGGAGCGACCCACAAAATGCAAATATCATCGTATTGGCTGCCAGTGGCGTGGACCCTATCACGAGAGTGTGTATCTATTCCAATATATAGAAAGGTCTGTGTATACCAATAATTCATGAACTTCTTAATCTTTTACAGCAACTGAACACGAACGCAACTGCTTGCATCCCCAAAAATCTGGCTATGAGGTGATGGCTGCCTTGGAGGCGCATGATGTCAAGATCAAAGAGGAAAAAAAAATGTTTAATACATTGATAGATCTACTGAGCTACGAGAAAATCATTTTTAACGGCAAGTGCAGCATCTACAAATCCTTCCCACTCTTTAATAACCAATGCAATATAGATCTACAGATGAAACCGTATCGCACAGATGAGTATGTGCACAAGCTGTTCTATGAGACGGCCCGTTTCTCAGCATTCAACCAGCAGTGGGTGGTAAAGGCTCGCATCAATAACAGCCAGCGAGATCCGCATCAGTCGAATGAGCGAACCATCACCTATCAGCTAATATTGAAGACGAAAACCAGCACACCCATGAGCATACATTTCTTTGCACTCAAAGGTCCCTTCTCGGACATGAAGGTCTCTACGCAGATATATAAGCACGAGTTTACGGAAACGGTACAATAATATTTACATTTCTCGGGAATACATCTATAAATATACATTGTATCCTCCATTCCAGAGCACTGAGAGTGATTATTACGTGCTACCCTTGCCTGATGGCAACAGCACTGGCTCCAGCGAATGCAATCGTATGCTGGCCAACAAAGGGATTAATTTCCGGTGAGTTAAGTATTTGAGCACTCAAATAAAGTATATGCAAATTGTATATCAATCCAATATCTCATAACTTTTCTTTACAGTTTACTGATGTTTCTGCTGAACAAGTAAAGCGCTCGTTACATGCTAGTAGTAAAGATTTTTCAACCTAGTTTAAGTCTGTTGTTTCTAACTCATAAATGTGCAAAAACTAGATATAGCCAAAATATATAAATATATATATATTTTGTATCTTAAATGTACATGTACTTTCAAATAAAAAAGAATGCAAAAAAATGAAAATCGAAAAATCACCACTTAATACTAACAATGACGATAGTACTGTAACGCGTTAGGTTGTAATTGTGACCTAAGTTTAGATGAGTTTTAAGCTTTATATTGCTGGCAAAAAGAATAAGTAAATAATATCCCATACATGCGATATATTTAATTATAAGACACATAAATTAATGTAAATGAGGCGTTTCCAGATTATGTTAAAACCCCATTTAATGCCGTAAACACAGAGCCATATGCAGAAATCTACTAATATATATATATATATGTATGTACATTATATAGATCAACATACAAGTCGAGAATACAGCTACTTTATATATGTATGCTACGTACGTGATTGATATGTATCGAGTACATCAGAAATGCCATTTGAAAACATGAATTCAATAATAATTGCAATAAATACAAAATCTATGTTTATACATAAGTAATTTGTGTGTGCGACTCTAAAAAATAAAAAATGTTTTATTGATCTCACTCGAATAAACAAATGAAAAATCTTGTTTGCTCTCAATGTGCGGCATGAAATAAGAAATATATAAAGCGCACATGAGGAGCTCAAGCCGTAAAAATAAAACTAACATATAATATAAACATACATATATAACTATAGGAAACTGATCGAAGCAGATTTGAATGTCTTTGCTAAATACACTGTAAGACAACAACACCAAGCTATCTGAACCGAACAGAGTTTATAATGCTTAATGGCTATGATATATAATCTGTACTGTAAAATCGAAAACTAAAGAAGGAAATTAATTGCATTGCAGTTCTCCCATTTGCTTTATTAAAACAAGTTTATATTCAAAACTCTCTTTAATTGCATTCTGTTGACTTCCCCACTAAGGTTATAACGCTTACAATTTACATTTATGTGTGTAATATTTATATGCATTGTTAATTATAAAGCTAAACATATATTAATGATATTTCTTAATAAATAAAATGAACGTGCTAAGGCAATATTATCATGTGTTCAATTTCTTAATTCCCTATTACATGTCCTCATCTTCCATAGCACGATACCTGTTGCGAACGTGATTCGCAACTATCTCACGCGGATTCTTTTTGAAGTTTTTGTCCTTTATTAACTTCTCGAGGGATCGCACTTTGTTTACATATTCGTTACGTTTCTTCTTGATCTTCTTTTTGGCACTTAATGTCTCAGCTTCTTCAACTGCGATTTCTTCTTTTTTTTTCTTTTGGGCTTTTACCAAATTGTACATCTCGCCAAGGGATGGCAGCGCATCTCGAAGAGGTTTTAAATCGCCTACAACTTTCGTTTTCTCTCGAACTTTGCGTGCCTGCTCTTCCTTTAATTTCTTCTGTATTTCTCCGAAGCGTTTTATCAACTTTGAGTGTTTTTCTGCAGACTTTTCCTTTTTTGTAATGGTCTTCTTCGGAGAGAGGATCTTGTGAAGCAATTTATCCTGGCGATTTTCTCTATTTAATCTCGCCTGCATTTGCTGAACCTTTTGCTTCGCCGCTCCTACTGCACTCTTAGCTTTCGCTCGTATATTTCTTTTAGCCATTTCTTTTATTGTTTAAACAAAATATACGGCCACGCGCGTATATTTCCCCTTCTATTTTTTTTTTTTTTTTGGCTCACGTTTCTGTCAGAAAATCGACATTTGATGTGCCCAACATCTGATATATCGATATTTGAAAACAATCGATGCTTAATAACAAATAACAAAAATCACGTCTATATCGTAAATAATGAAGGCGGGTTTTCGTTGAAATTGAATTTATTAATATACTAATTAAAAATAAAAAACTGAGCTGAAAATATAGTGTTATATTCCTTAGTTATCTTAAGAATTCGTTTCAATATGGTTTGCTTTCTGTACATCATTCAGTGAACGTGGCGCAGTTACTCAGTACTCAAACATATCATGTTTTGTCCATCTCTAATATAAATGCAATATTGTTTGCTTGTAAACAGCTGTGATTGCGGTTGAGGTAAATTCAAAGTTTTGCCGAAAATGGATTACGATTTCAAGATGAAAACGCAAATGGAGCGAACCAAGGTCGAAGACCTATTTAATTATGAGGGCTGTAAGGTGGGCCGTGGCACCTACGGTCATGTGTATAAGGCAAAGTGGAAGGAGACCAGGTAGGCAAAAAAAAAAAAAAAATTTTAACCAAAGCCACATTTACATTCTGATTCTTATTTCTGTAGCGATGGCAAGGAATATGCTCTTAAACAGATCGATGGCACAGGTCTATCTATGTCTGCTTGCCGGGAGATTGCTCTGTTACGTGAGCTAAAACACCAGAATGTTATAACGCTTATTCGAGTCTTCTTGTCACACAATGACCGGAAGGTGTTTTTGCTGATCGACTACGCGGAGCATGATCTTTGGCATATCATCAAGTTCCATCGTGCAGCCAAGGCCACTAAGAAGCATGTGGTCGTACCACGCGGCATGGTCAAGAGTCTTCTGTATCAGATTCTGGATGGCATTCATTACCTGCACAGCAATTGGGTTTTGCACCGTGATCTGAAGCCAGCGAACATTCTCGTAATGGGTGACGGCAACGAGCGCGGGCGTGTCAAAATTGCGGATATGGGCTTTGCACGTCTCTTCAATGCTCCTCTGAAGCCACTGGCAGACTTGGATCCGGTGGTGGTTACCTTTTGGTATCGAGCGCCAGAGCTGCTGCTGGGTGCGCGTCATTATACGAAAGCCATCGACATTTGGGCAATTGGATGTATTTTCGCGGAGTTGCTAACGTCGGAGCCTATCTTCCATTGTCGGCAGGAGGACATTAAGACAAGCAATCCGTACCATCACGATCAGCTGGACCGCATATTCAATGTAATGGGCTTTCCCCAGGACAAGGACTGGGAGGACATCAAAAAGATGCCAGAGCACCATACACTGATTAAGGATTTCAAGCGCTCCACCTATTCTGCCTGCTCACTGGCCAAGTACATGGAGCGTCACAAGATTAAGCCCGATAGCAAAGCATTTCATCTGCTGCAGAAGTTGCTGTTGATGGATCCCAACAAGCGCATAACATCTGAGCAGGCGATGCAGGATCCATACTTCCAGGAGGAACCCCTGCCGACGCAGGACGTCTTCGCCGGCTGCCCCATACCGTATCCCAAGCGTGAATTCCTCACCGATGACGACCAAGAGGACAAGTCGGACAACAAGCGCCAACAGCAGCAGCAGCAGCAACAGCAGCAGCAACAACAGCAACAACAACAGCAGCAGCAGCAACAACAACAGCAACAGCAACAGCAAATGAATCCCAACGAGCCGAATGCCAAGCGAGTTCGGCTATCAGGCGCTGGCAACCAGCAGGATTTCCATCATCAGCAACAGCAGCAGCAGCAACAACAGCAACAAATGATCTTCAATCAACAACAAAATTTCCAGCAACGCTTCAACTGAAATGGAAGTGTTAAGGAAGTTAAATCAATACAAAATTCGTGATGGAAAGTAAGCTATTCCATTTGGCCGTTTTACATTTACACTAATTTATAGATTTTTTTATAACAACTTTAATGTAAGAAAACAATTCACACAAACAAATTAAATGTTCTAGTTTAAGTTAACCATTTAATTAGTCTTTTATGTGTCCTAGTACCAGCCGCTAAAGCGTTCAATGGCTCGACTCCATTTTCGCATGCGGCTAGCAATCGAATCGAACTGCTTTGGCTGTGGTTCGAAAATACGCTCCACATGGCGGAAGCGTTTGAGATCGTCGAGCGTGTGCCAAATGCCATGATTAACGCCTGCTAGAAAGGTGGCGCCCATTATGCTAGACTCTGAGCAGTCGGCGCGCTCCACGTGCAGACCGCTGGCATCTGCCAAGAACTGGCAAACGAAATCATTGCGCGAGACTCCGCCGTCCACTCTGGAAAAAAGTTAATGATGATGGCGCTCGAACCGTATGTTGCAGACAGTGCCTTACTTAATGACTTTCAGTCTGTGCCCCGTTTCGTGCTCCGCAGTCTCAATCAGCTGCACCACACGAAACACGATGCTCTCCAGCAGCGCACGCACCAGGTGAGCTTTGGTTGTGGACGGGGTCATGCCAATGAAGCCACTGGCAGCACGATAGTCATTCACAGGCGGCTGGGCAAACGGATTCGTTGTGAAATTAAATATTATGCATTGGAGTCTTGTTCTCTGTGTACTCACACCCAATCCGCTAAAAGCAGGCATAAAGTAAACATCGTTAGTGTCTGACACTGATTCAGCTATGGCGGCGGTTTCAGCGGGCGATTCGAACAGTCCACAGGATTGCGCCCACGTCACCACGGTTCCAAAGTCGTGGGCAGCACCTTCGATGCAGTAGATCGTGTCGATCTGCTTACTGGTATGCTTGAGCTGCCAAGCTACCAGTGGATACATTCCGCTGATCACAGCCTTGCAGTCTGGCCCGGTCACAAGGTTTAGGAACGCGCCAGTACCCATGGTGATCTTCACATTGCCTGTTGCGAAGCACTGCGAGCCCCACATGGCAGCCGTCTGATCACTGATGGAGGCAGCAATGGGAATCATAGTGTTGTTCCATTCCTGACCAAATGCCGAAGGATGCACGTATCCGAAGTCCCTGTAGCTATTATCAACTACGCGAGGCAAAATGCTGGACTGTAATAATGGGAACTATTGAATGGGATCAGGAATAAATGCTCTCCACTTACATCGATGCCGAACATCCAGCGCACAAGTGGCGACCAGCTGAGAGTAAAGGGATCGTAGAGGCCGGTGGCAGTGCTTGAGGTAATATCGGTTATATGTTCTACATCTGGATCAAGGCCGTTGCCGGACCGCAGTTTGTACAAAATCCACGAATCAAGTAGCTCCAGGCGCGCCTTCTTTTCGTGCAGTGCGCGCTGCAGTCGCTTGTTGTGGGCAATCTCATAAAGGAGGCGCGGCGTCACCTGGCCGTTCATTAGCTTGAGCACACTGCCAGCCAAGAAGCGCGCTTGTCTGGTCAGCAGGTACAGAGAGTAGGAGAATGCATTCATGAAGCGCAATAAACAGCTGGAATTCCAGTGCTGGACCAGCTCATCCGCGCGCAAGTCCTTCCACGTGATGAAATTGTGATAGTATTCTTTGGTCCTGTGGTTCCACGTTAAGAACGTGCACCGCTGTGTCGAAATTGTGAGGCAAGTGATATCCGATGGTTTCAACGTTGCGTCTGGAGATTAATATATGTGTGTGTGTGGGAGGGGGCCAGCTAATCTCAAGTACTTACTGTATATCGATTCTCTTATCACCTTGACTATCTTGCGCCATAAGCCCTCGGGCTCTATCTCGAAATAGCCCGGCTGGGGATTTAATAGCTCAACCTACAAATATCATACAGTTAAATGGCTCTCAACTTTGCCCGCCGCCACTCAATTAACTCACAGCATCCGCAGCCGACCCCTTGACCGCGCAGTTCTCATCGAGCACAAAGCACCGCAAATACGTCGTCCCAACGTCCAACGCTGCGATATGAGAAGCTTTCGTTTCTGTCATTTTGTAGCCGCCGTTGCCGCTGTTGCTGCTTCTCGGAGCACACTTCGTTATTTACTGAAACTTAACAGACGATCGCTGGCAAACTAAATTTGCGTTGCTCTTTGGGCATAGTCGTTTCATATTGCTGCCCATCCCCGTAATCAACTACTCTAGTTTCCGATAATAAGCTTGACCAGTTGGTGTCTATCATGGCGACGAATTAATGTGCAGGTGTCGCGATTCCCACGCAGCAGGCGCTCTTTCCATACGAGCATATGACGTCACACCTTAAGTCTGTTGCTTTCAAATGCTAATAATAGCTGCATTAGGCTAGTGAGTTTAATTTCATTTCATAAACTAAAGTTTTATCCATAAGCTATTTGATTATAATTAAATCCTTATCACCCGCCTACTTGAGATTAAACATGATTGTGCGATTCCCTAATTCATTAAAGGATATCTCTTTGATAAGAGAGTTGCCACATCTTTAGCATTACTTTCCGTATGCAGGCTGGCAGCACAGTGCAGTGCGCACAATTCATAAACATTCAAAATTGTTATCTTGCTGGTATAGAGTAACAAGAACAACATTTGATACGTTTTCTGTATGCTGAGATAAGGAGTGGTAAATATAGAACACTCTATCAACTTGTGGCCTACATTATTTCCAGTCAATAATCGCACTCAATTTTTGTTTTACAACTTTAATATACATATACATATATATAGATATATAGACATATACCAATAATAATATTACTCATTTAAACAACGCTACACGACAAAGACATTCAGTTATAAACAATATATGCACGTAAGGAGTACGAACTATGTAAAAGCTTTCAGAAGCCTCGTGCTGCATAGATAGTAGATACAGTCAATTAGGTACTGGTTTCTAATAGGTACACGTTGTCTCGAGTTGCAGTATAATGTCAAAGGTGCCTCATTCAGAGATATGTATGCCTACAACTACTTATAGCAATGCTCACAATTCGTTTACATATCTGTCGGAAGTATATCCGGAATTAGATATTGACATAGATCCACCTCACTGTTGACAAACTTCACCTTTTTGGCGGTGTTGTCATCGAGCAGCATGCGAATCGCTGGCCATACGGTCGAGAAGATGCCAGGCGCATTTAAGATTAGGCAAACGCCCAATCGCTCCGGATAGTGTTTGCCGAGCAGCCAGATAAGATTCTGCACCAGCTGATAGTCCATGCACGCTGTGCTGAACTCAGCCAGATCAAAGACAATGCACAGGCGGTCTGTAACCTCCTCGAAGCACTTTTTGCATGCCTCCTCCAGAATGTAGACAATGAATCGCGTCAACTCGTCAATGTCACGCGCCGAAGAGCTATGATTTTTGGCTGGAATATAAATGACGGGGCGGCCAACGCAATCACGGTGCCGCAAGACCCGTGCCTTGTTCTCCAAGTGGCTGCGGTCCATTTCGTTCAGTTTGGCCACGCCATATGATTCACGCCACTTGTTCGTCTTCAATATGGCCTATAAGGGTGGGTGGTGAAGGGTTAACCATATGTACATAATTTGTATAAAAGTCAATGTCAAGATGTGGGCGCGTGGGCGTGAAAGTAACTCACTTGGAATGCGTCATCTGTAGTCTTAAAGGCGCGTAGATAACGCCGTAGTGAGAAATCATTCTGATATTGATTTGGGTCTGCGTCAGCTATGAGTTTCATTCGCTGCTTCAGGTCCTTCAGATCTTGCTCGTTAATTGGCGCCAGCTCCTCTGCTGACATATTGTGTCAATTATTTTATTAACGATGGCCTTGACTGGCAATAAATCTTAGCTCCTGAGCCTAACCAATGTCTATTTGGATATCTCTTTTGCTATTTAACGTCTTATCTACCGCACCAACTAATTTGTTGTCCGGAAAATATTTTTTTCACCTTTTTCTATTGCGTTTCAATTAAGTTATCGATAAGTTTTAATTTGACAGGGTTGCCTGAGTTAAAAAAACAGCTGTTACATTTGAAATAATTATGAAGAGCTTACTTTTTCTCGGTTCGTTATATTTCCCCAAAGATGAAAACGGCTTCACTTACATACATAGATATACATATGTTTATATTTATTTGTTTCTAACTGCAATCATTATCATAAATATTAACAAGAAGAGTTACAAAAACATCTGCCAGCATTAATATAAAAATCATACTCTTGTGCATACATCCACCGTGACGCACACAGCCCAATATAATAAAAAATATTTAACTACACCTACTTATTCAAATGCAGAGATTCCCATTACTGATTAGTTATTGCTTGAATGTATGATCGTTGCTGGAAACACATATTCATTTGTTCTTATTTTGGTATCATGACACGAGAAATGCCTGGCAGTATCTCTGCCTGGAGTGGACCAAATTCTATTTGTTCGCCATCGACGGTGATGATGCCGTGATTATCGCACGGCTCCAAGCGGAATGCGCGTACCTGTAGCACCTTTATAAACTGGTTGTTTTTCTCAGGTAGGTGACTGCCCGAGCTCATGTTGTAAAGAAAGCTGAGCAAGTGCGGACGGCTGATGCCGCCGCGAATCAAAACTAAAAATATTTTGCCATCGTTCAATTGGGCTTTGGGAGCAAAGTGGCAATCGATGCCGAGATGAGATTGATAGATGGCGTGCATCATAATAAATTCGCCTTCCTCCACCAGCCAGCCCGCATCCTCGGGCAATGGTTCGTCAAGTCCCGGTAAGCTACTACCTGGGCCGAAATTGGGAAAGCCTTGCTCTAATTTAGTGCCCGCCGAAATCGAAGGTTGAGTGAATTCGCTGTCATCTGCCACGCTGTGATAGATACTCTCTGATATGGAATAATAGCAGCTGCGTCGTGAGCCGCCCGACAGCCAGCTGTCGCAGCGCGAGCGGAATGATTGATTGATGGAAGTCTCCAGCGAAATGACATCCTCGAATTCTTGTGGCAAAAACTCCATGGAGCGGTGATTGCTGGCATTGGACAGTTTATCGATATGCAAAGTGCAGCTGCGGCTGGATTGCATCTTTCGCATCTGTTCTGACTGCAGCAGCGGCGTTTCCAGCGGCTCCTGTGCCTCATCGGCCAGCAAATAGCTGATCTTGCCATTATAGGTGCGCAAATTGGCCCATCGATAGAGTGTCCAGATGGTGAAGCGTTGGTAGCCAAACATCCGGATGCATTCACTCTCAATGTCCACGTCCGAGATGAGGCCCCAGCCTATCGACAGGAAAGAAAACATGACGCGATTTTTATTCTCCACACGCACCACATCCATGGGCGAGGTTCGACCACTGATGGCTGTCAGAGCGGCACCCAGTACAGGGTTACTGAAGTATGGTTCACTGCAAGCAGAAACAGGGATTAGTACTTGTGCCAAACAGAAACACCTGCGGGAATAACCCACTCACTTGTAGCCATGCGCAATGGAGCGTGCCAGGCCATTGCCAGAGCCGCATGGAATAATGGCCAGGGCAAGGCTGTCCATCACTTGAGCCCAATCAGCGCGGCAGAGCAGTCCGTTGATTATCTCGTGGAACAGGCCATCGCCGCCAACGGCTAAGATGGTGCACCACTCGTCCAGGCGGCGAGTGCTCATAAATTCGATTGCATAGTTGGAATGCTTCGTTACAAACAAATCGTAAGGTACTTCGGCTTCGTTGAGAATCGGTGCGACACTCGTATTGAATACCTCGCGTGCATTGCCAGAGCCGGACTTGGGATTGAGGAGTACCACAATTCGGCGACGCCGCGGCTCGCCCACACTTTCTACAAAGATGGGCTCCAGCGTTTGATGCAACTGCCAGCGCAAGGCGCGATACCAGCGATCAGCCTCTCGCATGTTATCCTCGAACGTATCAAAGGATCGAAACCGAAGCGTCAGCACCGTCCGCTCCCTGTGCAGGCTGCTGCGAAGGCTCTTCTTCTTCAGCACATAGGCAAACAAGTACAAATAGGCGCTGCCGTCGCCCACTTCGGTTGCATTCTCTTCCTTGCTGGTCATGCTACACTTGCTGGGCGTGCCCTTGCGACCAGAGCCCGCAGCTGGAGTACCCGGATTGACGCAGGCGCAACCTGCCAGATTTCGATGCGACTTTTTCATGCGCATGCAGCGTGCTCCGATAATATTACATATTTTGACCTTCTGCTCCTTGATCGTGACACCACTGGGAGATTCGCGTTGTAGAGTGAATCCTGTAGCATCCAGACGCACACGAAATACGTGGCTACCCTTGCGCTGGCTGGTGTAGAAAGTATCAGAAACATTGTGAAGGTCATCGTCTTCCTTGCTTGGTGTGGAGAAAGCGGAGTCAGTGCTCCTCTCCAGAGATTTATTCATGTTTGATAGAGATTCTCTTTAAGCAGCATTTTTTATTTACTTTAACTATTAAAACTGGGGTACTCCCAAATATGCAAGAGACATTAAAGTGCTATCGATAGCTATCGGTATACTGCAGTAAGTTTTCCAAACATACTTTTGCTTTTAATTGTTTCATCACTAATTAACGCAAGCTGACTAAACGCACTTGAAGTGTTTCCTATATAAACACATGTTTACATTTATATACTCATTTAAGTGTGAAATTTATATAGGTGGCAGACGATAAACCAGTTAATTACTTCACAAAGATAACTGTCAGTATATTTTTTTAATTTTGGTCTAATTTTTCGCTGACAATTGTAGCTCTTGGTAATCGACCAGCCACCACATGAAGTTATAATCAACGATTTACTCATTCGGTGTTGGTAAAGGTTGCTAGTATTGTGCCTATCGTATCGCAATCGCACTTAACTATGCCTTTTTTGTCGCTTGCCTACACTTAGCTCAAGCATGCGGTAGTGAAGTGAATTAATTACACACTTTTCGGGTTGTCCAAACAAAATTCGAGGTAGTGCAGTGTGCTTTATGTAATTTGATGCAATTCGTTTTTGCCACACGACACACACTTCTACACACCTATAATGACTAACAGCCTAGAAATTGAGTGCTCTGCGTTGAAAGTAGCGCGTCATAAAATCGAACGCGTTGGTTGCGCATATTTTAACGCACGCCGCCAAATTGGCGATGCGAACGGCGTCGAGCGAAGCGACTCTGATGAGAAATTGGCGGGCGCTGGCGAGGATGTCGATATAAACTACCTCAAGTCACTTGATCCTAAAGAATGGAAGGATCAGGATCATTACAGCGTTCTCGGCCTTGGCAAATTAAGGTGCGTTTATCTGTTAATGTGTGCAGACATGTTTGGGTGTGCGTTAGAAAGAGAAAGGGAAAGAATGCGTGTGTGTTTGAGCGTGTGCACGTGTATTAACTGTAATAACTTATTTTGCACACTCACACAGATACGAAGCGACCGATGATGACATTCGGAGGGCCTACAGACGAATGGTGCTGCTGCATCATCCGGACAAGCGAAAAGCCAAAGGAGAGGAGGTGATTACGGATGACGACTACTTCACATGCATAACAAAGGCCTATGAAATACTTGGTTGGTAGTCGATATATCTAAATAAATAATTGTTTATGGGCACTTGGTGGGTAGGTTGATATATCTAAATGACTAATTGTAGGCTTGTTTATATGGTGTGTATTCTTGATGAGTCGATATATTTAAATACGTAATTGTAGCTTCAATTTGTTGTACAGTTTTCAAATAACCATGATAAATAATAGTATAGAAAAGGAATAGAATATGTCAACATATACGTGATGTGAAGGAGATATATGTAAATAAATACTTGTAGTTTATATTTGCTTAAATGTGTAATATAATAATAGCACTTATAACATATTTAGCGCAGAATGTAATCCTGGTGAGTCGATATATCCAAAAAGAATGAATATATCTTAATAAAGGTAGCGCATAAAATATATTTTGGGGGATATAGTATTTATATATCTAGATGAATCCTATATACAATTTGTAATAGGATATCATCTAGTATATACAATAAAGTCGTTATAGACTCCGCTTATATTCTTACAACGAAAACTGTGGTCCCTATGCAAACATATATGACTATAGTGTTTTCCGGGTATTATGACGGTCACTTCAGCGTCACTGTATATTGCAATAAATGTGCCATCTAATGTTTCTAATTCTATTTTCTTCAGTTGCTCAAAATTGAATACCTTGTGCTTAACACAAATATTTCTAGGGTATCTAAAAGTCTTATTAATGTTACGTCACATATGTATTTGTATTTGCTTGTTAATGTCTTATATCAATGCTAAATAGAGAGAGAGTCAGAGAGAAAAAGTTAATATAGAGCTAGATATAAATCTAAAAACAAATCAGTATAATAATATTAATTTGACTAATTAATACATCGAAATTTCTCTATTGCAGGCACTCCAAAAACACGCCGTAGCTACGACTCAGTGGATCCCGAATTTGACGACGGTTTTCCCTCACAATCGGATATCGATAACAATTACTTTGAGTCGTTTAATAAGTATTTTAATTTGAATGCGCGCTGGAGTGAAAAGCCCAATGTGCCGCCGTTTGGCGACGTGGATGCCAAGCGAGAGGATGTCGAACGTTTTTACAATTTCTGGTACGACTTTAAGTCATGGCGCGAGTTCAGCTACTTGGACGAGGAGGATAAGGAGAAGGGCCAGGACCGGGATGAGCGTCGCTGGATTGAGAAGGAGAACAAGACGGCGCGCATCAAGCGCAAAAAAGAAGAGATGACTCGTATTCGCGCCTTGGTCGACTTGGCTTATAACAACGACAAGCGAATCCAGAGATTAAAGCAAGAGGAAAAGGATCGCAAAGCGGCAGCCAAGCGAGCCAAAATGGATGCTGCGCAGGCCCAAAAGGCCGAGCAGGAACGGGCGATACGAGAAGCGGCGCTCGCCAAAGAGAAGGCGGAGAAGGCCGAGCAAAAGCGTATCGAGCAGATTCGCATCGAGCGTGAACAGCAGAAGAAGGTACTGAAAAAGGAGCGCAAGACACTGCGCGACAAGGTCAAGGATTGTAAGTACTATGCCAAAAATGACAAGGATCAGCTGAAGCACATGGAGGGCACCGAGAAGATATGTGAAACCTTCAACTTGGCGGAGCTACAGGCGTTGAACAAGGCCATGGAGACCAAGGGTAGGGAGTCGTTCGTTGCGGCGCTGCACACCGCCGAGCAGAAGATCGCCGCCGAACTGGAGGAGCTCAACATAGCGCATCAGAAGAAGCAAGTGAACAATACGCCTAAGACGGGCGTTAAGGAGGTGAAAAAGAGTGAGCTCTGGAGCAATGAGAACGTGCAGCTGTTGATCAAGGCGGTCAATCTGTTTCCCGCTGGCACTGCCCAGCGCTGGGATGTGATTGCCACGTTCATCAATCAGCATTGCAGTGGAGGCTCCAGCCCGGTAACTGCGCGCGATGTGCTCAACAAGGCGAAGGCGCTGCAGAACAGCGATCACTCCAAAAGCTCTCTCAAGACCCAGGCCAATGAAGGGGCGTTCCAGAGCTTCGAGAAATCCAAGAAAGAAGTCCAGACAACGAACGATATTACGCTAGGCGAGTCGCCGGCAGAGAGTAAAGAGAACCACAAACAGAATGGGGGTGACAGTCAGAACAATCAGAAACCGCAGCAGCGGCAGCAACAGCAACAACAGGTGCAGCAGCAGTCGGAGTCGAAGCAAAATGGTAGTGCTGTGGGGGCTCCGGCCAGTACGCCGGCAACCACTCCAACTACGAATGGCATCGCATCGAAGACATGGACAAAGGAGGAGCAGGCTTTGCTGGAGCAAGCCATCAAAACGTATCCGACCACTACACCCGATCGCTGGGATTGCATTGCGGCCTGCATACCCAATCGCAGTAAAAAGGATTGCTTGCGCCGTGTAAAGGAGCTCGTCGAACTCGTCAACTCGAAGAAGGAAGCTCAGGCGGCTGTCAAATGAGTTGTACCACGCGCGTTGCCTTACGCGTTCGCCTCTGCCCTAGCTGCTGTGTCCTATATACATATTATTTAAATAAATAAACTTAAAACAGTTTTGAACGTTTAGCGAAAAGTTACATTCTGATGATTTTATGCTTTTCAAATCTACTAAAGTTGCCGACTTTTTCTTGATGACTTATCGAAAAGTAAAATAAGTGCAATATTATCGAAATATTTCTTATTCAGCTGATCGTGTACCTGAACTTTGATATTTCTTTAACAATGAAAATGAACTATAGAAACCTCTGCACAGTAACTAATCGAAAGACATAAACTTTTGAACGTTTAGCGAATATCTACATTCAAATGATTCTATGCATTTAAAAGCAATCGAAATGCCAATTGATCGCTTAATTATTTAGTATATACTTTTTTATTCAGAAAAGGTGTGCATATGTGTCCTTCTGATCTTGTATAGCGCAATGTATAGCAGATGGAATGGCTTTTTAACAATGAATAATATATTTTTATTGACAAAACTCATGTGTCGTGTGAAAAAGCTACAGCGGTCGACAGGGAAAAACGTTGAAACTATCGATAGGGACAATAATACTAGCGACAGGCCGACCGATCGATTAGGTTCGATGCTGGCTGCTTTCTGCTGTGGTTACCGATGCCAGGTAACCTTAGTTCCGCGTCCACTCTAAAATCTCTGTCTTATGTCTGCTCCGCTACTCGTCTTCCGCCGCTCAGTTTTAAGTCAAATGCCTGTGGATTGGCCAACGGGTCCAGGTCAGCAAAGAGATCCAGCCAGGGATTGTTAGAGCTATTACTGGTCTGCTTGGCGTTCGTTTTGGTTGGAGCGGCTGCTGCAGCGTTGCAGACGGGTGTGGGCGGCTGCTGCTGACTAAACATGCGAGCCCAGAATTTGTTATTGCTGCTTGTGTCCAACAGTGGAGCCTCTAGCAGTGGCGGCGCCTCGATAAGAGGACTCTCTTCCAACTGCCTGGACAGTTCAATGAGCAATGATTCGTTGTCACCACACGTAGTTTCGGGCCCAGCTGAGGCCGTAGACGTGGGCGTGGTCGTGGGCGTATCGTCTGTGGGCGGCTGCGACTCGGACTTTGGCTTGTCCTGGTATTCGTCCTGCAAACAAAACAAAAATGCAATTCATATTGCCGAATATATCTTATTATATTAACATTGTACCGCAAAGAATAACGATTGGTCTTTGTCAACAGCTTCGATCGGAACTGCTTCCGGTGCATCGGCGCCTTCGTTCTGGGACAGTTCCTTGAGCACACAGAAGTCGTATTTTGGTTTGACCACCAGCGCATTCGAAATTGTCTGAAAGGTGGATGCGGCCTTCTGGGCAAAGTTCTTCAGCTCTGCTAAATAGGCAACCAAGGCATGGGAATACATATTGCAGCGGGCAGCGGCCAGGAGATCAATCTGAAAAGAATTCTCTGTTAAATCGAGGAACTGTCAGGTGGATCTGCATGATTTTGCCTACTTTTTGTATCGAGTCCATGGAGTAACTGTCAAAGTTGTGCTTGGCAGCCCTCACATGAGCTTGGGCTGTGCGAAACTTATCCAGTCCCTTTCCAGTGTCTGGATCCATGTCCTGGCTGGCCGTGTGCTTCATCCAGGACAAGGCGGCACGGTATTCGGTGCGTTCCTTTTCCATGGTCTGCAGAGTCAGTTCAGTATCCTTGACGGCACGGCAGCGATACACATCCACCTCGTGTTGCAGTCGCAGTAGAGGAACGCGAACGCACATCCTTTGCTGCCCAGCAAAGGACATGGCCTTGCCCGTGTTTGTGATGCTGCAGCCCGTCGTCTTGCTCCGCTTGCCAGCCTCTTTGAGAAAACGCCCGAACACGCACTCCTCCTGCGACAATATGCACAGTCGTTCCTGGTATTGGTCAATGATTTTGCACAGCTCCAAGCTGGTGTCACTTATCGATTTGAAGACCTCGATTTTTGCGTCCAGCTCGGCGTCGGAGGATATTATGTGCTTGTCCTCTTTGCTGCCCAGCTTGCGCTGTACAACCTTTTTGGTTATCCAGTATTGGTGTTGCACTTCTGACTTTAACATATTTTCGTATCAATTTCACTGATAGCTGAAAAAAAAATTTCTGCTACAAAGAGATAAAGCTCATAGTAAACGGAACGTTATGCGCAAACGCAAAATTCTGTTAAAATGGCGTTGCCACACTGTAAGAATTAGCGGGACTCGTTAAATTTACTTGAAATATGTATATATAAAAGTTGACGGCAAATCATTCGCTATTTATACAGTGTCTAAGACTACGAGATCATACTAAAAATTACGAATGTATCGTATATTTGTTTCCAAATATTATTTTCATATTTTTCGACTATATTTGATTTCAAATAAGTTTTCAAATAACTACATAGTTCCAGTCTGGCAACGATGTACATAAACGCTAAAAAACACCACGTCACGTAAATAGCTTTAACATCACCATTTCGAGTTAGACAGTGAAGTTAACAGACCTATACGAACTGCAATTTCGTAACTGTAACTGTGTCTTTCAAAGAGAACACTACAAGCGCTCGCTTTGCATTTTGTTGTTGGTTTCGTTTGGCGCTGCATTTAACTGTGTGCCGCACACATTTTGCATAGAACGCGCTGCGGTTCGTACGGTATCTCTATCTTGACATTATTTTTAAGTACACCAATATTTGTGCAAGTGTTTTTTTACATGTTCACGCTGCGCGCGCGCTTCATAGTGTACTTCTATGTGTGTGCGTGAGAGCCAGGGCTAAAGTTCGACTCGAACTGCAATTGCAATAGCAATTGAAAGCGACATACATATACATATTTGTGCCCATATTGCTAATTCGCCGGACAGGTAAGCTAAAGTTGCCACTAGTTACAGTTACTTTAAGCCAGCTTGTTGGGTTGGATGCTGTTTCGCGCGCACACACACATACGCACTGCAGAAGAAAGTGAACAAGTGTGTGCAAATGCGTCTGTCGCTGCCATTGCTCTTGCCGCTGCCTGTCCACTGAAACGGGTTGAAGTTGCGGCTTTGCCACCTGCAGAAAATGACAGCGTCTGGCGTCTTCACTTATTGTGTGTGGGTGTGCGTAAGTGTGGAGTCCCTGTGTGTGTGTGTATGTGAGCCCTGCTCAAATTGATTGTTTGCTTTATTATGAAGATTATGTCTGTCCGCCTGTTAACACCAACAGTGCGTGACCCGCCGCCTTGGAACACTTGAGTTTTTAAACTGATTGCAGCAACAATTAGATTCGGCTCTGCGCGCACACAGAAAAATAAAATAAAACCACAGCAACAACAATCAGAATCGGAATTAAAACGAAAAGGTCATCCACGGGCACTTGCTGGCCTCAGGTCTCAGTTAATGCTTAATGGGCGCAGCGCGAGGCCTTTTACATGCCAAAAAAGAGTAAAAGAGACAAAAAGAAAAACGAAAACCAACCTAATAAGAAAAGATCTCAGGCCGTCGTTCGTTATAGCCCCGTTATTGCTGTTGGTTTTCCAGCTTCAAAGCCGCGCTCCGGCGTGCGCCTTGGGCCGGCGTCGCTGCGCAGTCGCATTTAACAATTGTTATTGAAACGAGCAACAACAACTACCAGATTTCACTGCACTTGATGCCGCTGTAGTTGTTATTGTTGCTGTTGCAAGTTAAGCTGTTGTCAACGCCTGGTCACATTAATCAAAAGAGGTTCGATAGCATTCGATAGCAGCTGCTAGCGCATATTATCGATAACTATGCTCTGCTCAGTTTTTTGCTATTTCCCTGTCGCACTCATTTTGCATACATATGCATGAAATCTCATGCATGCCGCAACAACAACAACAATGTCAATCTTGGCGTCGCTTTACATTTTTCTCACAGGTCGCAATAAATATTAAAAAAAAACTTTTTACAAATAACTGCGCATACATAATTTTTGCCACCGTTGTTGCTATTGTCGTTGTTGTTTTAGTTCTTGTTGTTGGCCGTATCAAGTTACTTTTGGTTGTTGCTCTGCTCTCATTTACATGCAGCACTTTGTCCATAGTTGTTGTTGCTGTTTTTCTACTGATTATTTTTTGTGTCGCCGCACGGCGTTGCTGCAACTAAATTGGCCTTAATTGGCTGCCTTTTTGCTGCCAATTTTTTTGTTTGTTGCCGCTGTTATCGGTCGTTGCCGGCCGGCCACTTGTGGCATGCAACACAAGCGGCGGCAGCAACAACTGCGGCTTACATTTGTTGTTCGACTTCACGTTTTCGTTTTTACTTTTATTGGCTGCGCTTATTTGATTTAATTAGGCGGCGGCAGCAGCAGCAACAGCCGCAGCGGGTTTCATTATTGTTTGCAAATTGTGGGAAAAATCAGTGAGCCAAAGAGAAAAAAACGCATTTCGAGAATTTATAGCGCCTGGCTGGCTAGCTGGCTGGCTGGCTGGCTGGCTGCATTTTATAGCCGGTTGCATAATTCAACTAAGTCGCAGCCGAAACTGAGCGCAAAAACAAGCTAATAAATCAAATTGCCATTCTCAGGCTTGCGGCAACTGCTGCAACGGCTGCTGCAAGTGCAACGCAACTAGCTCAACTGCAGGATACTCTATAATAAGGCAAATGGTCAGAAGTTGTTCTGAATGCAACGCTTGGATTCGCTCTGCCTATTGCCTAGTCTCATACGCTACGCTCCCCTTTATGCTAATGCTTTACAGGGTATTGCCACAGCATTTACAATAAGCGGCCCGTATTCAGAGCATGTCAATGCAGCTATCTCAAACTACTTACAGACATGTGCACTTATGTGGGCTATGGTAATGTTACCCGGCACACCTACCCCCTTTGCCTACCCCTCCCACTCGCACTCGCACACACATACGTATGCAGCATTTACCGTTTGGCAAGGTCTGTCGAGCCAGACCAGCTGGGGCTCCGGCTTAGATTCTTGCCCACCCATTGCACAATCTCAATCTACATCTCTGTGTGTGTGCTCTGCCAATAGGCCAGTGCCTCGGCTATTGAGTCGTCTAGGAAGGTTTGTTAGCTGTCATGCCCACGTGACGAGGCCAAGTGGCCAAGTGTCCAAGTGTCCAAGTGTCCAAGTGTTCAAGTGGCAATTCACATTTTTATAACCACTACTCTCGGTTTTTTATTTTTGCATTGTCTCTGGTGCTGATTAAATTTCAATTTGCGCTGCTGCCTCGAGGGGCAGCCGTGAAGCGGAAGCTGCTGCTGTATATCAATGCTTGCTAATGAGCTGGGCAACTGATTTGACCCAATTGGCAGCCCACCGCTTGCAACGCTCGCCAACACATGCACCACCCGATTGACCCACAAAAAAAAAATATATATATATAAATAATAATAAAACAAAAACCGAAGCCTTGCCACTGGCTGCTGGCTGCTGGACAGGCCCCTCCGTCTGCCCACTCCTCAGACTTAAATATAGCTATCAGCTTTAAGTGGCTGCCAGCGCCTTGCAAATTTATTGAATCTCATTGGGAGCAGCTTTCTATACTTTCTCAGTGCTCTCGAGCTCTCGAGCCGATGCGGAAGATGGAAGTGAAAAGTGCGCCAAGCAAATCAAAAACCAATGCAAATCTATCGAGCTCCACTTTGCCACTCTACCGCTCCACTCCTTTGCTCCACTATGGTCTGGCCTGGCCTGCTCGAACATTTCAAAGGCATCTCACGGATGCGACGCGCTGCGGCTTTGCGGCCGCACAAATATTTACATGCGTTCAATATTGAGTTATATGCGATAGATTTATAGAGACATTAAAGATGTGGCCGAGGAAAAACGGAGGAAAAGTGCGTGGCTGGCGTTTTAATTAACCCATAAGCTCAACTGGCCAATTGCTTTTGACTCTGTCGGATTGCAGCCATGTTGCATGGGGGTTTCTGTTGCACATTTGCACCATGACTTTCACTTTCAGCACAGCGAAGCACACAGGAGCCACACACACACACACACACACAGCACACTCACACACAAGCATAGTCTGGGTTAATGAGGATGCCACATTGCTGCACAGTTCGTGCCGCTTGATTATCTTGCTCTCGCTCGCTTGGCGTTGCACATTCGTCTTGCAACAAGAAGCAGAAAAAAATGAAACGAAAAACTGTGGCAGCCGCTTTCATGTAATTTATTTGTTTATTGTCTTGCCGGCCTACACCCACCCCAGCAGCCGTTGTTACACTTGCACTTGCGAACGCTTTTTACCTAGCTACTTATCTACTTCTTACCTGTCCACCCGCTGCAGCCGCCATAGCCGCCACCAATGGTGCGCCGCCCAGCGCCCACCTTGCGGCTCGTTAGTTGAAGATGAACAAGTTTGTATTTTTCATTTTATTTTGTATTTTTTTTCTCTCGTTTTATCTTCTTTTGCTCTTTTATTGCTTTGGCCAGGAAGCGAGCGATTTTTCATTGTTGTTGTTGTTACCGTCCCACTATTCTTTCGCCCGCACATGCGAGCCGCCTAATTAGTTGAGGGCTGTTGGGGCAACTAGAGAGCTCTGTCCGTCCGTCTGTCTTGCTGTCTCCGTTTGCTACCTTTTGCTATTATTTGGCATCGTTTCGCTCGCTCGCTACGCTAGTCTCGCTTTCGTTCTCACAACAGTAAACGAATTTCCCAAGTTTTTCACATCCACATGAGCTCATTCGGAACTGTTTCCTGTGATTCACACACATACACACAGACATTTGCACAGTCTCAGCAGAGATTCCTATTTGCTGCTGCTCCTGTTGTGTACAAAGAGCTGTCGAGCTGAGCTCAGCGCATTTCCTGGAAATAACATTTCCTCTCAGTAGCCAATTGACTTAAATTTGCTAAGATTCGTGGGTATCCAAGTTTAAAAACCCCCCTAACGAACGACCTTAATTAGGTTTTAGAAAATTTGTACTAATAATTGCAAATATAAATATAAATATAAATATAAATATAAATATAAACATAAATATAAATATAAATATAAATATAAATATAAATATAAATATAAATATAAATATAAA